CCATCACAGCACTGCATCCTCCCCCCCCCCATCTGCCTCTCCTTGGGGAGCGGGAAAAGCTGGATTTTTTTTTAAACAAACATGTATTGCTAAGTGAATTGGCTCGCCGTGATCCAAGAGAAAAAGGGCTGGATTCTACAGAACAAGAGAAGAAAAAGTAGTTCTCCACGTCTTCTCCTGTCTCCTCCTCCGCAGGGGAGCAGGGACATGCTGGAATTTTTTTAATCAGATGTATTGATAAGTGGCATACTGCTTTGGTTCAGAACTGACAATCACACATGCCAGAAACCAAACTAACATGGATCGCCGTGATCCAAGAGAAAAAGGGCTGGATTCTACAGAACAAGAGAAGAAAAAGTAGTTCTCCACGTCTTCTCCTGTCTCCTCCTCCGCAGGGGAGCAGGGACATGCTGGAATTTTTTTAATCAGATGTATTGATAAGTGGCATACTGCTTTGGTTCAGAACTGACAATCACACATGCCAGAAACCAAACTAACATGGACGGATCCTACTCTACTCGGTTAAACCAAACTGTTCTAATGGGGGCAAGGGATTCTAATTCTAAGGAGGGCTGTGGATAGAACATACCTCCTTTAATTGCTATGTTGGGTAATCTGAAACTGACTGGATTTAATTTAGACGATGAACAAAAATGGCATTCTTTACTCATGAAAGATTTCATCCTTCTGTCTCTGCTTGGATAGGAAGGAAGGAAGGAAGGAAGGAAGGAAGGAAGGAAGGAAGGAAGGAAGGAAGGAAGGAAGGAAGGAAGGAAGATATGCAACCTAAGAATACCATTAAAGATGAAGGTCAACATAGGTCAGGGTAAGCAAGAGATAGTCTAGGAAACCCAGGGGCCTAACTCCTCCTTCCCATCCAAAGACAGGCTTCTTCTTCAGGGTAAACTGAGCTTGCACCCAGCCACCCCTGACACATTTTGCAAAGGAAGGCATGGGACTCACTGGACAAGGTTTAAAAGGAACATTTGTGCTCCTGTGATTGGGAAAAAAAATCCCAGATGTCCTATCAAGATAGAATCCTGCATACCATCACACACTCCCTAAAATGAGTGAAATAAAGACTTTTGTAGTAAATACAGTTTATGGCTGTTGTTATTAAGGTGTCTGCCTCTAATTTAATAGCTGTCTGCTCTTGGTTACGTATATGCTGTATTTTAATTGTGTTTTGTTCTTAAATCATTCAGAGAATCTCTTTGGAGGTCTCCAGAATGAAAAGCGACATAACAATGCCATTGTACGTAAACAATCGTAAGTATTCAAAAAGAGAAAACAGTTAATAAATGCTGAAAATAGAAGGTCTGGAACACAAGAATAGTTTTCTATAATGTACATGTTGCTAGTCTCCATGCTTCTTTCCCTCATTGTTTACTTTCCAAAGAGAGGCAAGGAAAAGAGGTAAGGCCATAACTCTAGAAGCAAGGACATTCAGAGTAGAGATCACCTCCTGATTCAAAATATGGGCACCCTGGTCTGATTCTTGTAGAACCTTAGCTTCTTGCCGAAGGAAACGCTTTAGTACTACCCCATTAACAGCAGCCATCCCGTTTTCTACGTAACATAGGCTTTGAGAGTGTCACTACTGACAAAGAGCAGATCTGTAGTGCAATCTTACGCAGAGTTATACAACCTTTCCAAGTCCAATATAACTGATGGGAGAGTGGGGTGGAGTCTCCTTGTGTTTCATGACCTTAGCCCAAGGTAAACAGAAGGGGATATATTCCCCCCCCCCTTCAGAGACTCAAAATCATCTCTTGCATTTACTTAGGGTGAGGGTACAAGGTTGCAACAAGGTGCCCAAGTTGAGTAAGGAGGGGATGACCAGTGGTCTGAATGTCTTTGCTCCAAGCATGACTCTTTTCTTGGCTGTAAACCAAAGCGTAGTGTGTGGGGTTTTTTTGTCTCAAATTTCTCTGCTTATTGAAACAGAGGTATGCAAAGGCACCAGGACTTCAAGTGAACAACCTAAGGTACAAGGCTTTTCTTTAACCCACTGTACAAATATGATCAGTCAAATCCAACATAAAACCTTGAATTCACTGTATAAAGCATGCCAGCTTCTCCCAACTGATTCTAGTTAGATTGCTATGGAAACAAAACACATTTATAAAGGAAAGGCCTAGAGTGGTCTTAACCAACCAGATAGGCGGGATATAAAACAAACAAACACGCAATCAAACAAACAAACTAACAAACAAACAAACAAACAAACAAACAAATAAATAAATAAATAAATAAAGGTTCCCCTTGACATTTAGTCCAGTCATGTCCAACTCTAGGCCTCATCCCCGTCTCCAAGCCGTAGAGCCAGGATTTGTTTGTAGACAGTTTCCGTGGTCACGTGGCCAGTGCAACTAGACACGGATCGCCATTACTTTCCCACTGTGGTGATATCTATTTATCTACTCGCATTCTTACATGCTTTCGAACTGCTAGGTTGGCAGGAGCTGGGACAAGCGACGGGAGCTCACTCCATCGCATTGATTCTATCTTACGACTGCTGGTATTCTGACCTTGCAGCACAGAGGCTTCTGTGGTTTAACCTGCAGCGCCACCACTTCCCCTAAAGGAAAAGAAGATACCCTTTAAACCTGTCTCTTAAAGGCACGAATCATGTACACCACAAGTTGTTACTCATAAATCTGCTTCCCATGGAATTTCTGCTTACTGCTCAAAGTTTACTCATGGAAACACATCCCAGGATCAAATGTGTTCCATCAAAATCTGGTACTGCTCAAGGGGCAGGAACAGTATGACTCTCACTCCTCATCGTCACTCTGCACTGTCAACTTGGATAAAAGTACACTCGCCCTAAAGTTTTCAGAAGATATCCAGACTGAGAAGCAAAACAGAGGATCAGTGAAAAACAGCTGTAAGAAAAAGATTACTTTTTTTAAAAAGCACACTCTCTACCCTTTGTTTCTGAGAGGGAGATAATAGGGAAAGCTTTCATCAGCTATAACTATGTGGCGGCTAGCAGCACCTAGGTAAAAATATTTAAAGCACATATTTTGACACTCCAGCACCCAAGATGATGTACAAGAAAAGAGAAAAGAATATAAAAACTGCAAAAAAATAACCACCCAGATTTCCAAATTTATTGTTAAAAAATCCAATGACATAATAACTCCAGAGAACTAAATGAAATCTGTATTAAAAACTATTATACTACTACACAGAACAATACCACCCTCATTGCCTATCTAAAACTTGGCAAAGATGTGAGTACAGTGGGGTCTTAACTTCAGAACTTAATCCGTATTGGAATCAAGTCAAAAAGTTCTCAGGTCAAATCTGCATTTCCCATAGGAATGCATTGAAAACCATTTGATCCGTATCTGCTCTTTTCCGTCCATAGAAACTAATGGGAAGCTGCTATTCCGCCTTCGACCACTAGAGGGGGATATTTTGTTTCTTTTTTTCTTAGGTCAAGAAAGGTTCAGGGAAGGCAGGGAAAATACAGTCCAGGCAGTCCAGTACCAGGCAGTCTGAAGACTGTCTCCCAATCCACTCTCTAAACACTGGGAGGAGTGAGGAAGCAGACAGGCACCCTTTTCACTGGCCAACAGTTAACTGAAAGTTCAAATTTTGCACTTTCCCTGCCTCCCACGTGG